CGGACTCCTCGGCCTCTGCAGTGCGGGCCGTGCGGGGAGGGCGCCGCGGCGCTGTGCGGGAGACCCCGGGGGTCTCGGGCCGCACTGCCGGGTCGCGGCGCGGAGTGGGTGGCTGAGACGGCGCAGACCAGTCGCTTCTGCCTCACCCTGCGGAGGCCTGCGCCGCCCTGATGGGCCGCAAGCTTGCTTGCTCGGAAAAGCGGGGGCTGCTTAATTCCTAGGAAGGTTTTATGGGAGCTCCTGCAGTAAAAACTGTTGGAAGAAGTGATTTCTAAGTGTGCTGTTCCGATGTAAATGTTAGGGCTTGCAGTGGATCACCTGGGTGCTCTTCGCAACATAAGCAAACCCCGCCCCCCCACTACTACCACACACACACACACACACACACACACACACACACACAACAACCCCCCCCCCCCCCAAACCCCCCCCCCCCCCCCAGAGCCCTTAATCGTGTTTCAAATGACATTGCTTCTGGGGAGTTTTTATAACAGGCATTCTTCCATCCTGCCTTTGCTCAGTTTTACCTAATTTAGCTAAAGGTCATCGTGATAAGCTTTCAGCATGGAAAACCAGAAGGTTGGTTTTTAGATAAATACATTAAATGACTTCTTTTTTTTTTTCTTCTTGGTAGCAGGGATCGAACTCAGAACCTTGCGCTTGCCAGGCAGGTGCTGTGCCGCTGAGCTACATCCTCGGCCTATTAAATGACTTGCTTCATGGTTGTGTTAAGATAGTTCTGTATGTGTATGCTTAAGATTTCAGAAGAAAGTGGAAGCCTCCTTTCCCAAAACAGTTCTGAGCCGAGGACCCGATAACCGCTACCTGGTGTTAGCGGTTGATGTTGTGCAGACGGAGGAAGGAAGCTACGAGAAGCACCTGATGCTCACGACATCCCGGTCCCTAGAACCTGAAGAACAGTGCCTCCTTAGGGATGACTGGTAATTTTCTCGTGACTTCGAGCACTGATTTGGTAGTCTTAGGGGTACCCTCCTCCTTGCCCGTGCTAGGCAAGACTTGAGCTACATCTGAAGCTCCAGGGTACATTGTCCGTCTGTCTGTCTGTGTCTCTCTACCTCTCTGTCTCTGCTATTGGGAATCAGATCCAGGGCATACTACCCCTGAGCTGCATCCCTAGCCCTGTTTTGTTTTGACACAGGGTCTTGTTAAGTTGCCCGGGTGGCACTCAAATTTGCAACCCTCCTGCCTTAGGCTCCCAAGTGCTGGGATTACAGGTGTGCAGCTGCTCACAGGATACTGCTTTAAAAGTCTTCAAATAATTATGTGGATATTGTGTAATTTTTTTTTTTTTTGTCTTTTGGAGACAGTTTCACTATGCAGTTCAGGCTGGCCTTGAGCTCACTTTATAGCCTAGGCTGGTCTGGAGCTCACAACAATCCTCCTGCCTCAGCCTCCCAGTACTGGATTACAGGTGTGCGCCACCACATCCAGTTTGTAATTTAGTTGTTGAAAGGGGATAGATTTGAACCTAGATTAATCCTGTATGAAAATTGTGTCTGTTACTCCAGCATCTCACGTCTTGTTCCAAAGTTGATTTTTATTGTCATTGAAAATCGTGTATAGATTGAGTATCTTTTATCCAAAATGTTTGGGACTAGAAGTACAGTATTTCATGTTTTGTATTTTCTTGGGTTTTGGAGTATTTACTGTACCTTTTGCTTTTTGTGTGTAGACTGAAGGTTAGTTAGAAGTAGGTAAAATTTTATTCTTGCTACCCTGGGTTTGACTGCATGTCTCAAGACTCAAGAAAGCTGTAGATGTGCTGTAAGTCTTAAGAAGGGGAGGGTTATTTGAAAAACCCGATTCAAAATTGGAGCCATATATTATACTAGCAGTGGTTTAATTGTTTTGCTAGACATTTGTTAGACATTGCTAAGCTGTTTTCCTTTTTAGTACTTAAGGAAGTGGGAAAGACTACATCCTCTTAATTTCTAAAAAGACCTACAAATTTAAACATAAAGTCTCTCTTCTCTTCCCTTATCCCCTTCCCCCCCTTCCACTTTTCTCTCTCCCCTTCCCCTTCCTTTCCCTCCTTCTTTCTTTCAATTGAACCCAGGGCCTTTGCACTGAGCTTCATCCTTTTTATATTTTATTTTGAGACAGGGTCCTGCTAAGTCACTCAGTTGCCCATATGGAATTTGGGACCCTCCTGCCTCAGCCTCCCAGAGTGATAGAATTATAGGTGTAGAATTATAGGCACATGTCACCGCACCTTTTGAGAAATACTTATTTCTTCCTCAGATAAGACAATCAGTTATTGGAGCCTGGCCTGGTGGGGCATGCCAATAATCCCAGCACGCAGGAGGCTGAAGCAGAAGGATTGTTGCCAGTTCGAGGCCAGCCTGGGCTACAATGTGAGCTCAAGACCAGCCTGAACTGTATAGTGAGACCCTGTCTCAAAAGCACGCACACACAGAAAAAAGATAATCGGTTATTTTTTGAAGCTTCATTGATAAGTTTAAGTGTGAGAACCTAAACTATGTATTTTTATTTTAACTTTGCTGTATTTTCAGGTGTTCTGTACCAGTACAGCCAGGGGACATTGTTCATTTGGAAGGAGACTGCTCGTCTGATACTTGGATAATAGATAAAGATTCTGGATTTCTGATCCTGTATCCGGACATGCTGATTTCTGGTACAAGCATAGCCAGTAGTATTCGATGTCTGAGAAGAGCTGTCCTGAGTGAAACTTTTAGGGTAAAGATTCTAACAACTCATGTTTATATAGCATCTTAGATTGTAGAACCCGCCTTTTTTGTGGTGCTGGGAATCTCGTTAGCTAAACAGTGTACAATGAGCTGCATTCTCAGCCCCTAAGTGAGAAAAATTCTAATTTAAACCAAATGTGGTGGTACACATCTATAAACCCAGCATTCTGAGAGCCTGAGGCAGGAGGATTAAAAATTTGAGCTAAGTCTGGACAACTAGCAAGAACTTGTCTCAGAAATAGGGTTAGGGCCAGGTGTGGTGGGGTACACTTATAATCCCAGCGCTCAGGGGGCTGAGGCAGGAGGATTGTTGTGAGTTCGAGACCAGCCTGGGCTGTAAAGTGAACTCAAGGCCAGCCTGAACTGCATAGGGAGACCCTGTTTCAGAAAGACAAAAAAAAAAAAAAATAGAAAGGGTTGGGAACTTAGCTCTGTAAAGGTCCTGGGTTCAATCCATAGTAATGCCAAAAAAAAAAAAGATTTAACATGCCTACGCATTTCTAAACGTGGCTTCATGTGATTCTCAATAGACTAGAAATAAAATCTATTTTACTTTATCTTTTTAACTTTTTGTTTTATTTTTTGAGACAAGGTCTCAACTGTGTAGTTTAAGCTGGCCTTTAATTCACTGTGTAACCTGTGCTGGTCTCAAACTTGTAGCCAGCTTCCTGCATCAGGCTCCTGAGTGCTGGGATTACAGTGTGCTACCACACCCAGTTTTTGTTGTTTGTTTTCTTTTGTTTTGTTGGTGCTTGGGATAGAACTCAGGGCCTTGTGCATATAAGGCAAGAAATCTATCAATGTACTGTATCCCCAGCACCTTTTTTTTTTTGGTTTTTGAGACAGGGTTTCAATGAATATTCTACTCGGGCTTTGAACTCACTGCATAATCCAGGCTGGCCTCAAATTTGTGGTGATCCTCCTTCCTCAGCCTCCTGAGTACTGGGATAATAGGGATGTGCCACCACTCTCAGCCGAATACTTCCTCAATTTTTTTTAAAGATAATTTTGTTATGGTTTTAATTTTCTCATGCAATCTCTGTTACTCATTTTGCTTATTTGTTTTGTGGTGCTGGGGATGGAATCTAGGGCCTCACATATGCTAAGCAAGCACTCTACCACAGCTATGTCCCAGCCCTACTTCCTTAAATTTAAAGTCCAGTTTCTTTCTTTCTTTCTTTCTTTTTTTTGTGGTACTGGGACTCAAACTCAGGACCTTGCACTTGCCAACCAGGCCACTGAGCTATATCCCCAGCCCTGTCCAGTTTATTTCTAATGTTTTTCTAAAAAAGTTTTTCCGTTAATGTTGTAATTAATTAAAAAAATTTTTTTTGGTACCAGGAATCAAACTTAGGACCTTGCACTTGCCAGGCAGGCACTGTGCTGCTGAGCTATATCCCTGGCCCCTGTAATCAGCACTCAAACAAGTCCTTACTCTGTGTTTGGTTGACACATCTCTTAAGTTTTTTTTCAACGTCTGTTGTGCCCTCCATCACTGTTTCTGGGTTTTGTTTGTCTTTCTGAGACAGGGTCTCCCTATACAGTTCAGGCTGACCTTGAGCTCACTTTGTTGCCCAGGCTGGCCTTGAATTCACAACAATCCTCCTGCCTCAGCCTCCTGAGTGCTGGGATTACAGGCATGTGCCACCACGCCCGGTTTATCACTGTTTCTGTAACAATTGTTGAAGAACCTAAGTTGTTTGTTAAAGTTTTCCCCTCCTCCCAATTTTTGGAAATTATATAGTTAATCTATGTGTATGTAGAAAATTAGAACTCTAGCTATAGGAAGAGTAATAAAAAGAATAATACCTAGTAGAGTCTAGGCTGGACTTAAACCAGCGATTGTCTGTCTAAAAACAAAAAATAAAAACAGCTGGAGAAGTAGCTCAGTGAGATTAGAGAAAAGTACTTTTAAAATATGAAACATTTGATCTGGGTGTTTTGGTGCAGTCCTAAAATCCTAGCTACTTAAAAGGCTGAAAAAGAAGGATTACAAGTTTGAGGCCAGCTTGAGCAGCCTCTCGATATCCTTTCTCAAGGTTTTTTGAAAAAGACTGCAGATGTAGCTCAGTGGTAGAGCGTTTGCCTAGCATGCACAAGGCCCTGAGCTCAATCTTCAGCACCAAAAAAAAAAGAAAATACACTGAAGGGTTTCTATGTTTTAAAAAATCCTTTTAAAAGAGAAATACGTTGACTTTAAAAAAAAAAACCTAAAATTTGCACAAAAATTGAGATAAGTCTGAGCGGAAGAAAGTGAAATACGCCTGTATTTCCACCTACCAGAAAAATACATTAGTGTTTTGCTATGTATCTTACCCGTACACATTGACTATATAGTGGTCATACAATATACTGTTATGTGTTTATATGTTCTGAAATAAAATGTTTTTATCGTTTGTCTTCATAGAGCTCCCACCCAGCCACTCGCCAGATGCTGATTGGTGTAGTTCTCCATGAAGTATTTCAGAAAGCAATAAGTGATAGCTTTGCACCAGAAAAGCTAAGAGAACTTGCTTTTCAAACTGTTCAAGAGATAAAGCATTTGAAGGAAATGTAAGTAGTTGCGATGTTGCCCAGGCTGGGCTTGAATTTGGCATGCTCCTGCCTCAGCCTCCTGTAGTGCTACCATAATGGGTGTGTGCGACCATGCCCAGCTGCCTTCTTGTAGTGTTTTGCTGCTGGTGATAAACCTAGGGCTTTGTGCACACTTAGCTTGCGTTCACCACAGGTACACCTGCAGTCCTACATACTTGCTTTGTGGGCCAAGAACACTGAGCTACTCTTTGCAGTTTTCAGAATACAGCACAATGTTAACAGTAGTCACTGTGTTGTATGACACATCTCTTGAGCTTATTTCTCTGGTCCAGCTGGAGTTTTTTAACTCTCTCCTCATGTCCCCCTCCCCGTGCCTCATATATGTTTAAACCCCCATAGATATTTAGATACCTCGTTAGTCTAGAGCCCAATTTGGAAAAAACAAAACAAATGGATGAAAGAAAAGGTTTCTGAGCAGCCAGAATTGATGTAATGAAATCCATGGGTTATATGTTTCTTTTTTGTACCGGAAATTGAACTCAGGACCTAGCACTGGGCAGGGGATACAGCTCAGTGGCGTAAGCACCTGCCTGGCAAGCTCAAGGTCCTGTGTTCAATTCCCGGTACCAAAAAAAAAAAAAAAAAAAAAAAAAAAAAAAAAGGACCCAGCACTGCTTAGGATGCTCAAGCCTCTGGGTTCAGTACCCAGCACTTCAATAAAAGCAAACCAGAAAAAAACCTTGTGCGCTTGATGCAGCGGCCTTTCTCTCCACCTTCAACATGGTTTTGCTTTTACTAGTTTCTCTTTTAGGGTAGAGGGGTTTGCTCTGTTACTCAGGCTGATCTCCAAGCTCGGGCTCAAGTCATCCCCCTCAGTCTTTTGAGGAGCTGGGGCTGTAAGTGTGTGGCACTGTGCCTAGCAGATTTGCATATATTTCTGAGTTACCTGTTTCTAAGAGGCAGCAGGGAATAAGGGCCTACTGTAGAGGCACTTTCATAATCATATAAAATAAAGGTTGGTATCTTCATTCCAGGATGTAAGAGGAAACTAAAAATACAGGTTCTCAGCACTCAGGAGGCTGAGGCAGGAGGATTGCTGCAAGTTCAAGCCCAGCCTGGGCTACATAGTGAGTTCAGGGCCAGCCTGAACTGCATAGTGAGACCCTGCCTCAAAAAAACAAAAGCTAGGGCCAGGGATGTAGCTCAGCGGCACAGCACCTGCCTGGCAAACGCAAGATCCTCAGTTTGATTCCCAGTACCGACAACAGCAACAAAGCAAAAGTGAAAAAAAAACCCAAAGAAATAGAAAAAACCAGGATACAGAAAGGTCACAGTTCTAGAGGGATTCGTTCTTAGCAGATTTTTGGCTACCACTGAATTATGTCTTTGTTACTTATCATGACACCCTAAGTTATTAATGGAAATTCGATGTCTTGTAATTATGAAATGTAAATTATCTAATAATTTTTTCCCATCCAAAGTAATGCCAGTCCTATTCAAGAGAATCCTATTTTAGGATATGTGCTGCCAAAGCAAGCACTGCAAGAGAATCCTAAAGCAGGAGGACCAGAGTTCTTTTTTTTTTTTTTTTCTGGTATGGGGAATTGAACTCATGATGTCGCATTTGCCAATTAGGTGCTGTGCCGCTGAGCTAAATCCCCAGCCCCTACAGAGTTCTTTTTGTTTTTTTGTCTTTTTGAGACAGGGTCTCGCTATGCAGTTTAGGCTGGCCTTGAGGCTGGCTCACTGTGTAGCCCAGGCTGGTCTTGAACTTACAACAACCCTCCTGCCTCAGCCTCCTGAGTGCTGGGATTACAGGTGCACGCCACCAAGCCTGGCCAGAATTCTTTTCTGTCTTGTTCATAGACCCTTTCCCTGTGGTTCAGAGGAAGATCTGTTCCTTTGACTTCTCATATAGATGAAAGGTTAATTTAGAAATCCTACATTCAGTACTGTAATCTCAGGACAGACCAGGCTGCTCCATGTCTTTTGCTGAGGCGTGCCTAAAATTAGTGATGAAGACTTTACATACAGGGGGTGTTAACTCATATGAACTGTTCTGGAAACCGAGAGTCCTAGTCTGAGCTGGTGCGGTGTTGCACACCTGTTGCCCCAGATGTTCTGGAAGCTGAGGTGGGAGGATCCCTTGAGCCCAGGAGTTTGAAGCTATCCTGGCCAATATTTTGAGTCTCCGTCTAAGAAAAAAAAAAAAAAAAAAAAAAGAGTCCTGGTCTCATTTGAAGTCACACACTAGGAAAAGTCTGCCTGAGGAAATCATGACACTGAAAACTGGTTCCTGAATAGTTACAGAAAATAATTTAAGAAAAAAATGATTGAAGATTGTAAAGGGCTTTTATATGGGTTGTGTCTGTAGATAATTCCTGTACTAGAAATCAAAACTGAGATAATTAAAATAATTCATTTAAAAATAGCAGGTCATTTCATGTTAACATAAATAACATCCTTATGAAAAATAATAATTATTTTGAGAAAAATTTAATGAGATGAGTGAGCTTGTTTTACATTTTTGCAAGTGTTTATAATGGCTTAATACAACACAGCTGGTTTTTCCTATCTGCTTCTGCATCCTGAGCTACATCCTCAGCCCTGGGAATCAAATTTAGGACCTTGCACTTGCCCAGCAGGTGCTTGTGCCGCTGAGCTATATCCCCAGCGCCCTCCAGCCCTTTTTATGGTTTCTCTTGAGGTAGTGTCTCACTGAATTGCCCAGGCTGGTCTCAAAGTCACAGTCCTCCTGCTTTGGCCTTCCACCTTATCACTCACAGCTCTTTGAATTTCTGGTTTTTATTGCTTGGCTTCAGGATCAACATATCCTACTATTTCTGTTTTATCCCAAAGATATACTTGGGACCTTTCCCTCCAGTGACACCTGGTAGAGTTGAATTGTAGCAGATAATCTGAAATTAGATGTCGTTTCCCTGTTACTTGGTTTTTCAGTTGTGTTAAAATACTGAAAATTACTGTCTCACTCGTTTTTAGGTGTACAGTTGAGCGGCATGAAGTACATTCACATTGCTGTGCCCATCACCACCACCCCCAAATCCTTTTCCTCCTCCCACCCTGGAACTCTGTACCCACTGAATAAAACCTCCTCCTCTTGCCTCCTCCCCACTTCGGGCAACCCCTGTTCTATTTTTAGGGTATAATTTTGACAACCCTAGACACTCATATCAGTGAAATTGTGCCCCTGGCTTGTGACTGGCGTTTTCCCTAGCATAGTGTCTTGAGGCCCACCCGCACTGTAAACCACCCCCATCTCCACCCGCAACCCCTGTGGGACCTTTCTAGTGCTTGCGCCTGTGCTGAGCCACTCCTGGCCCCGCCCTGGTGCTGCTGCCACATTGTCTAGCTGCCCCTTTGCTGGTGGCCACTTGATCTGTTTTTGATGTTTTTGTCTTTTGTTTCTCATACTTCCTGCTTTCATACTTAATATCTCTTGTTTTGCCAGGTACCGCTTAAATCTGAGTCCAGATGAAATAAAACAAGAAATAGAGGAGTACCTTCCTGCATTCTCCAAGTGGGCCAGAGATTTCATGCATCAGAGTGTTTCGGCTGACTTCCCTCAGATGCAGCTTTCCCTGTAAGATATTCATGTTTACATATTGTTCATATTTGTAGAGCAGGAGCCTGTTTTCTGTGTTGAATCAAAGCTTTCTAAAGTCTGAGCTATTAGGGCAGGGATGTCGCTCAGTGGCACTGAGTGCGAGGTCAGTGAGTTTAATTCCTGGTACCAAAAAGCCTGAGCTATTATAGTTAGCCTTTTTGTTTGCGTGACAAATTGTGGTCCTTCATTGTCTTTTTTTTTTTTTTTTTGGAGACAGGGCTTGTTATGTAGCCCAGGCTGCCTTGAACTCGAAGCAGCCCTCCCACCCCAGCCTCCCAAGTGCAGGGTTAGGGTGTGCGCCTCCATGCTTGGTCCTTAGCATGTTCGTATGACCAGAGTCCAGTGAATTGAAAATTGTGTTTTCATTATAAGAAATTGTTCTGATTTATTTTTAATTTCACTTTAATAATAATTCTAACTTTTGTTTATTTACTTATATGCTTATTTTGCAGAATTAAGGGCATACCCAGGGGAGCTCTACCACTGAAATGCATCCTCATCTCTTTCTTATTTTTTATTTTGAGACAGAGCCTCAAAACTTGTGATCCTTGTGGCCTTGAATTTGCAATCCTCCTGCCTCAGCCACCTGAATAGTTGGGATTAGAGGCATGTGCCACCATTGTCCAGCTGTGTACAGATTTTGTATCTTCTTTTGTTTCCTTTTTTTAAGACAGGGTCTCTTCGTTTTTTTGTTTTTTTTGAGACAGGGTCTCACTATGTAGCCCAAGCTGACCTCCCAACTTTTGGCAATCTTCCTGCCTCAGCCTCCCAAGTGCTGAGATTACAGGTATGGGCCAGCCTCATGGTCTTGTTGTATAACCCAGTCAGGCCCCAAAATCACTATCCTCTGTCTCAGCCGCCCAAAGTGCTGATATTACAACTGTGTGCCACCATGCTTAGTTCTTTTTTTTAATGGGGGCGGGCGGGGGGTGCGGTTCTGGTACTGGGAATTGAACTCACAACCTTGTGCTTGCCAGGCAGGCGCTGTGGCGCTGAGCTAAATCCCCAGCCCCCACCATGCCTAGTTCTAATAGCAACTTTTAAAATTAGTTATCTTTCTTGTATTGGTAGACATGTAACATTTTACAAAAAATAAATTTTGCTTTATTCTATAAAAACAGTACATACCGTGATCAGATAAGATTTGGTCAGCAAAAACAGATGAATAGTTAAGGAATTTGTGATAAATTGTGTCTTCCCTGAGTCCCACTACTGTTTCTTCAGTAACTCTAGAAGTGTATACATTTTCCTGGTGATTTATTTGAAGTGCCTTTGTTGTTTTGGTCATTCACACTGAACTCACCATGTAGCTCAATCTGGTTGGAACTTGAGATTCTTCAGCCTCAGACTCCCTATTAGTGGGTTACAGACATGTGCCACCAAATGTGGCTTATTTGAAGCATCTTAAAGCAAGTTTTAAGAAAAATTAGGGAAATGAACATTTTCTTCTCTTCATTCGTTAACAAAATATCTTTTGACCTTTGTAAAATGAAACTAGCAGATTAAATTCATCTAGACCATGCTTTTTTGAGTCTGGGTCTCACTACACAGTTCAGGCTGGTCTTGAACTCACTTTATAGCCCAGGCTGGCCTCTAGCTTTCAATGATCCTCCTGCCTCAGCCTCCCGAGTGCTGGGATTATAGGTGTTCACCACCACGCCTGGCTCTTTTTTATTTTTTGTAGCACTGGGGATTGAGCACAGGTCCTCAGGTATGCTAGGTAAGTGCTTTACCATTGAGCTACATCCGTAGCCCTTTTTATTTTGAATCAGAGTCTGAGTAGATTGCCCATACTGGCCTGTAACTCACAGTCCTCCTGCCTCAGCCTCCTGAGTAGCTGGGATTATGAATTTTTGGCACTATACCTTGCTTCAGCTGGAATTCTTACTCTTTTAAAATTCATCTTTGATACAATGTGTTTATTGCTAAAAACTTCTTTCACTTGAGACTTTTACTAGATTTAGTATTTTATATGACTTTGAGCCTAAATGTTTAAAATATGTTTCCAGTAGATTTCATAAATAAGAATTAAACACCGAACTGACTTTTCTTCCAATCCCTTTTGTTGAGTAACTAACTGCCCTGAAAACAAGTAACTATTAGATAACGGATATATGAGAACTTTAAAAAGTTATCTGCATCTCCTATACTTATATACTCTTTTTTCTCTTTTTTGTGTTCTTGATTAATAGTTATTAAAGTCTGAACCTCTTTTATAATATAGAAGACAACATTGAGTACTTGATTTTAAATACTGATCATAGGGGGCGATCATATTGATCATAGAGGGCGATTCACTTAATGATTACACAGTGAACTTGAGTGGCCAGGAGCTCCTCCACAGTTGTTTTGTTGTTTTTTTTTTTTGGTTTTTGTTTTTTCTCCGGTACCGGAAACCGAACTCACGACCTTGCGCTTGCCAGGCAGGCGCTTTTGCCGCTGAGCTAAATCCCCAGCCCCTCCTCCACAGTTGTCATGTGGGGTGTGCAGGGGAGGAGTTGGGTGAAGAAACCCACACCTCCTTCGTGGTGGTGATGGACAGCTCCTCTCCAGCTTGAGGTGCATTGCAGGAAGGAGAGGTCTCCTGCCGGGCAAGTGTGTCACATCAGGCCCTCATGTGCTAGTGTATGTCATGAGTGTGTACTAATTCCTATCATTGGTTCAGCAGGCCGAGTAATGAGACCATTGGGTGAATGCAGAGTTGGGAGGTAAAGGCATGAGTTAAGAGTTTAGTTCATTCATTGTAGGAATGAAATAAAAGGGAAGATGATGAATATTAAGAAGGACTAAGTTCCATGAGCCAGAGTCCAGGGAACAGAGGTTGCGAAGCTGGGGCATCATCAGAATTGCTTGGAGGCTCTGTAGGTCTGGTGGCTGGACCTGGCCTGGTGGAGCAGTCTGCAGCTGGACTGAGTTTGCATTCGTGACGACTTCCCCAGTGATCCTGATGCCGCTGGCTCAGGACCATGCTTTGAGAGCACTGCACCATAGAGTTTCCCATCCTCACATTCCCCATAATAACAATGGCCTGGGCTGAGGGTATAGCTCAGCAGCACAGGCGGCTGTCTGGCAAGCGTAAGGTCCTGAGTTCGATTTCCAGTACCAAAAAAATGAAAATAACAGCCAGCAAACAGGTGGCGATTGTTCTAATTGTTCATGTGTTTTTTTGTAGGCCAAGTGACGGTAGTACTAATAATTCAACATGTAACATCGAAGTAATAAGCTCACTGGATATCGAGGAAAGCATTTGGTCCCCTAGGTTCGGCATAAAAGGCAAAATAGATGTTACAGTTGGTGTGAAAATACATCGAGGTTGTAAAGCGAAATATAAAATCATGCCACTGGAGCTTAAAACTGGCAAAGAATCCAATTCTGTTGAACATCATGGTCAGGTATAAATCTTAAAACTGTTGCCTGATTGTTTCATGTCACACATGCAGGCTGCATTGTATGTGGTGGTTCCGTTCAGGGAATGTTTGAGGTTTGCCTGCACCTCCTCTGTTTGCAATACGTCGGAGTCCTCAGCTTCCTGGTATACACTTGTGTAGTAGATCATTTGCTAGCAAGGCAGTGCAGGAGTTGAGCTTATGAGCCAGCGACACTGCGTTTATGCTAGCGTCCACCCGTTTATGCAGATGCTGCCAAAATTATTCATGGCGGGTGGGAAAAGGAAGCACACTTGGGGATTTTTCCATGTATATTAGTCTATTAGGTGTTCTCAGAAATTTTTTTTTGTCTTTTTGAGACAGGGTCTCACCATGCAGTTCAGACTGGCCTTGAACTCCCTATATAGCCTAGGCTGATGTTGAATTAGAGGCAATCCTCCTGCCTCAGCCTGCTGAGTGCTGGGGTTACAGGCATGCACCACCACACCCAGCTTCAGAAATCTTAAAGTAATACAGTTTGCCTTAGCTAGATTTAATATAGTGTCTCAAACCTAATTTACCATAGCTTTGGCTTTTTTGCGTGTCATATTAGAATACCCTTCAGGAAACATTAGCTTGGATTTTTTTTTTTTTTTTTTTTCTGGTACTGGGAATCAACCTCGGCCTCACATTTGCCAGGCAGGTGCTGTGCCACTGAGCTATATCCCTGGCCCTGGACTGATTCTTTGACCTTCATGTGATGATGTTGATTTTTGTCTGAGATGAAATAATAGAATTTTTTTTACTGTTATGACAATTGAAGGTGTTTGTTTTGTTTGGGGTTTTGTGTGTGTGTGTGTGTGTGTGTGTGTGTGTGTGTGTAGTACTGGTACTGGAGAGTGAATGCATTGCCCAGACTAGAGCTGAGCTTGCAGTCTTTCTGCCTCAGACTCCAGAGTTCTGGGATTACAGGCTTGATTACCATGCCTGAATTTAAAAATTAAATAAATTTAATTTTTAAAGTTATCTTTTAAATTCATATTCCTCTGTCTTCAACATAATTTTTCATTGCTTTTAAAAATTATTTGAAATTCATATTATAGTAATTTAAGAAACCAAAGTAACAGAGTTGTATTTTGTTTTCTGATGATTTCCATCTTTTATACCTATCAGGCAGTCTGCATTATGTTCTTACAGAAACTTTTAAATCAGTGAAGATAAAACTAAAAGAGAGAAAAAAAACTAAAACATAAAATTGTACTTTTGTTCTTTAGTATGTGCTAAGGAAACACGTTACAATAAATAACAAGGTTTCAGTGTAACTTAAATTTGTTTTAGCCATTGAAATTTTTTCATACTATTTGAGCAGATTTTGTGTAAAAATTCATATTCGAAATACTGAATTACATAATTCAGGGATTAAAGAGACTATTAAGTCTTTCTTGTCGCTCTTAATTGTGTATGAAATATTAAAGGTTATATAGAAGCTTTTCAGTTTGAAATGAAAAGTCATTTTGTTTTTTCACCTACTGGGTTTTATAAATATGGGAAGTACAAGGAAAATTAGACTTCTACTGTGAAGAGACTTGAACTTGGGGCTAGGGATTTAGCTCAGTGGCACAGTGCCTGCCTGGCAAGTGCAAGGTCGTGAGTTCGATTCCCGGTACCAGAAAAAAACCAAAAAATAAAAAATAAGAGACTTGAACTTTCCACTTGATGATACAGAAGTGGCAGAAATTACGAATGGAAGCCTGAGGTAGATTAAAGCCCTCTTAGGGAATATTGTGCCAAGGTAGAAAGGAGACTTTTTTTTGGTCTTTTTGAGATAGGGTCTCACTATGCACTTCAGGCTGGTCTTGAACTCACTTTGTAGCCCAGGCTGGTCTCGAACTTGCATTGATCCTCCTACCTCAGCCTTCAGAGTGCTGGGATTACAGACGTGCACCACCACACCTGGCTGAAAGAAGACTTCTTGAAGTCGAAGCTTTAAATTAGAGTGGGGGATGCAGCTCAATGGCAGGTGCTTGCTTGATGTGCGAGACCCTGGGTTCCGTTCCCAACTCCAAAGGGAAAAGAAAAGAAATTTAAGGGGATGCATATCATAGACATGAGATTGGAAATTGTTCAGTTGATTTTTTTTTTTTAAGAAGCTTGATTGAAATTACTTTGAAATGCTAAGGAAGAAAGAAAGATAATGTGGTCTAGACTTGGGGGAGCTTTTTCCTGATTGCTGCTTTAATTTGTTGTGCCTTCAAGGCAGAGAATATGCTGTGCCAAATTGTATTCAGTTGGAACTTTTATCTTCACTGAAAGAGAAGCTGCAGGAAAAACTTAAGACTAAGATGGTTTTGATTTCAGCATCACACAGTTTTTATTTTGTACGGGGACCACACCTAGACAGGAGAGAAGGAAGAGAAAAAAATGGTGAGAGAGGAATTAAACAATGGAAACAAAGGTTTTGTAAAGAAGGAGGGGAAGGAGGATTGAAAGGAGGATAGGAGAAGGGGGGAAAAAAGAATCAAGTTGTGTCATGTACAGGTACAAATTCCCTATAATGAATGTGATCATTATGTATACCTAACATGTACCAGTAAACATAATTGTTTTGTTTTGTTTTTTGTTTTGTTTTTTTCCCAGTACCAAGAATCAGACTCATGACCTTGTGCTTGCCAGGCAGGCGCTGTGCCGCTGAGCTAAATTCCCAGCCCCCAGTAAACATAATGAAAAACATAAAAACTGGAAAGTGTAGGGAAACCTTGTACAATATGCCCCCGAGGCTTTGATGTTTAAGCAGCGGGTTGACATAAGAAGCTTATGTATGCAGGTGAATTTATTTAGGAAATAGCTAAAACTTCAAAATTTATCATGACTGTTTGCTAGGACAGAAGGTTTCCACATTTTACTTGTAGATATTTTAACTTATCCAAAGTATTTCTGTATATGTCTTAACTTTTAGGTATCTAGGGTTGAATTTTCCTTGCAAAATTTGTATATTGAGATTTCTTCTGTATTTCTGTTATATTTGTTATTTGTACAGTCACTACTGTTTTTGACTGACACAAAGGAACAAAACTGCCAGTTGTAGAGGAGGACACCTGTAACCCCCCTTGGGAGACTGAGGGAGGAGGATCACAGGTTCGAGGCTGGTCTAGACTACATAATGAATTGAGGCCTGTGTGACATTAATGAGACCTTGTTCCACAAAAAACACCAAAGAACCACACACAGAAACCCCAACCCAATGTTTCCTTTTTTTTAAACTTGTCTTGGGCACTTAGAGGTGAGTTTATAGATGTAATTAGTAGTATTTACGCTGCAAATAGTATGTACTTTTATAAATTAATAATTTTATTTTTTTGTCTTTTTGAGAGCGTTTCACTGTGCAGTTCAGGCTGGCTTTGAACTCACTTTGTATCCCAGGAATAATTGTATTTTCAATATAGCTTAGAAAGTACAGTAGGGTTATAAGTATTTTGACATTGTATTTATGTGTGGTAATTATAATTCTTGGACTTTATATTTTGGAATTTTATGTTTTAAAGACCAGATCGTCCTAAATCGTTTAATATTTGACTCTTAGAGATTTCCCAAGAAATCATTGTCCTTAGGTTGTGTGCGATTCCGCCTGAGTGACTTGCTCTTGCAGCGTGTGGTAAGGAATGGTTTCTGACTTGCCTTAGGCGGCTTCCTGAGGGCACTGGTCAGTCTCAGGCAGTCAATGTCTCTGGCTCTAGGAAATAGCACGTGCACTGTGTGTGGGGTTAGGCTCATTTATGTGTCATACTAACCATGACATAAATGAAAAGCATTGTAGTGTTCATCTATTTTAAATTGGGAAAACAGTGTCTAATGTTAACTTCTAAGTGTAAAACAGGTTGATTAGCTTTTTAAATTTGTGGAACTCTAAATATTTACCGTCTAAGAAAAATTAACTTTATTGTCTAAAATTGAGAAGTATAATTTTGGTGGCGGGGTTGGGACAGGGTCTTGCTATGTGGTTTAGGCATTACTGTGCAGTCTTGAACTCGCAGAGACCCCTGTGCCTCAGTCTCCTGAGTGCAGGGATTACAGGGATGTGTCACCACGCCTAGCCACATAACTTGTTTTATGCAAATTAAATGTTTGACATTAAATTGTTTTGTTACCTTTACCAATTTGGCTTGTTTTCTAAATGGAAATAGCATCGTTGACCTTTTGATGTTAAAGTTATATGTTAGTTACATGTAGGGAAAGTTGCAGTTCTGTTTAACAGTGTTCCATGTTCCTCCAGGTGGTTCTCTACACACTGCTGAGCCAGGAGAGGAGAGAGGATCCCGAGGCTGGCCTGCTTCTCTACCTCAAGACAGGGCGGTTGCACCCTGTGCCTGCCAAGCATCTGGATAAAAGAGGTGGAGCTGCCTGCTAAGGCTTTTACTTCTAGCCCCTCTGCCACCCTCAGCTTCTGGCCATGGTTTTATGCCTGAAGGTCTGCTTACAGCATCTGCCAGCCTATTAAGTTGTGCTTTGTAAATGTGGTACTTTTCTGAAAAAGAACTTTAGTGATGTGTTCTATAGTTGAAAACGTCAACTTTTAAAAATTTTGTTATACCAAACTTCAGATTGGACTTTATGTTATGTTAGAGATGCTCTAGATAGTGCTGTCCTCAGCATTCAACTAATGAAGTATCAAATTGACAAATTCTTACCTATTAGAAGGTAGGTGTTTGGCCCAAGAACTTAGCAAGTAAACAGAAACTTACAGGACATGTACCAAAATGTGACTGTAGTCCAGTGTAGTGGGAATGTCATTGCTGCTCTCTGCTTTTATGCTTTTAAATCTGAGTTTTACTGTTCTAAAGGAAAAGATACATGAGGGCTGGGGATTTAGCTCAGTGACACAGCACCTGCCTGGCAAGCGCAAGGTCGTGAGTTCGATTCCCGGTACCGGAGTAAAACCAAAAAAAAAAAAAGAAAAGATACATGATAAACATGACTAAACCCTTGCAGACACTTAGCATTTTCTCCCTGTAGAATTACTGAAGCTGAGAAACCAGATGGTGTTCTCGTTGCTGCACCGTACTAGCCAAACTGCGACTGCAGAGGAGAGGACACAGCTTGCTCCTTTGCCTCAAATAATCGAGGAGGAAAAAGTCTGTAAATACTGTTCACAAATGAACAACTGTGCTCTTTATAGCAGGTACGCACACTCTTCAAAAAGCTTTAATTCAAATTGAGCATGAACTCTGTTTCATAACATTGGTGGCTGATCTGGCATTGATGATTTTGTGTTGTGTTGTGTTGTTTTGTCCTGTGGGAAACTGAGCCCAGGGGCTTCACTTTGAGCTGTATATCCCCATACTATTTTTACTTCATCCTTTTATTTGGAGTGTAGTACTTGTTGAAATGACAGGAATAGTCGGGGGGAAAAAGTTCATTTTATATTTTCAGACAAGTCCATATTCCATTTTCTTGTTAAATAGTAGAATGCTTTTAAAACTTTTTCCAAAGGTAGTTTAATTTCACTACATATAGTTTCTTCTTCTTTTTTTTTTTTTGAGACAGGGATTCACTTTGTAGTTTAGGCTGGCTTCAAACTCGTGAGGATACCTCTGCCTCAGGCTCCCAAGTGCTAGGATTACAGGCATATGCCACCATACCCAGCTTCACTGCACATAGTTTTTGTGAAGTGAAATAATTTTAGGATTTGGGAATCTAGTTTAGACAGATACCGTTGAGGTATTTTGAATACAAGTTTCCTTGCTGGGTGAGGTGGTACATGCTTATAATCCCTGGGCTTAGGAGGCTGAGGCAGGAGGATTGCCTGAGTTTGAGATTAGCCTGGGCTACATAGTTCAAGGCCAGCCTGGGGTACCTATCAAGACCCTGTCATAGAAAACAAAAACCAGAGAAACTCCATTCCAAATGATTTTCCATGTTTTAGATTAACTTGCTTATATTATAGAGCTGGGTGTACAAATACTGTCATTTCAAGAAACATGCAGTTGTATAAAAGGCCAGAACTTGTTGTGTATGGGAATGAAGACTAGCTTATAGCAAGATTAAACTGTTTGATTGATAGTCAGCGGAGGCAAAATAATAATATTGAATTTCTTACACATTTGTTGTTTTGAAAAAAGCCAGGCGGCTTATAAAATGAAATTGCTTTTAAGGAAAATTAGGTTTGAGGTTGTTAGACAGTGTGGTCGCATATATGTGCACTTACTTTAGGAAAATGTTATTTCATAGCAAGGCAGTCAAGTGCTATATATGAGAACAGCTCTAACATGGACCTTGGTATTCAGAGCAGTGGAACAACAGATGGAGGACAGTTTGGTCCCAGTGGTTATGCAGCCCAGGATAAAAGAAGCTACCGAGCACCTGAAGCTCACGCACTTAGAGTATTTCAGCCTTTGGTGTCTCATGTTAACCCTGGAGTCACAATCAAAAGAGAACACGAAGAATCACCAGCATATCTGGCTAGTGCCTGCCTCTGAAATGTAAGTAGTCCGCTTCACAAGGTGAAATGTCAGTCACTCAGATTAGCTGTTGCTGTGGCGCTTGGACTTGGCACCTGCAGGTCATGTGGCTTTGTTCCTGACAGTGCGGGGTGCCGGCTGTGAGCTGTCCTGAGTGGAGCAGCCTCTGCCCTCGGCTGCATGCTGCCACACCTCGTCAGGCATGTGCTTGCATTTGCAAGACATTATCTGTGGCTCAAGAATTCTTTTTTTTTTTTTTTTTCTTTTTGAGACAGGGTCTCACTATGCAGGTCAGGCTGGTCTTCAACTCACTTTGTAGCCCAGGCTGGCCTTAAATTCACAGCAATCCTCCTGCCTCAGTCTCCCAAGTGCTGAGATTACAGATGTGTGCCACCGCGCCGGGCCAAGAACTCTTAATTTCAGACTGACGACGTGGCTTCTTGTGTGTGAAGCCTTGGATTTGATCACTAGCACTACACATAGAGAACAAAAGAAAAATCTTATTTTGAGAATAATGAGTGTTGGGGATGTAGCTCAGTGGCACAAGTACCTGCCTGGCAAGCACAAGATCCTGAGTTCAATTCCCGGTACCAAACTCCCCCGAAACACCAAAAATAATTAGTAAATTCTTTTTTATCATTGATATTAATGTAAACGAGTGTATCTGTTACTTATTGGTAGAATGAAAATCAATGAAGTTTGACTTGAGTTTTTAAATACTAGTATTATTTCAGTAAAATTATATATTAGTAATAAAATTTTGTGGTTTTTTTGGGGTGATGCCTGGAATTGAACTCAAGACCTCATACTTGGCAGGCAGGTGCTGTGCCGCTGAGCTATATCCCTGGCCCCTGTTTTTTGTTTGCTAAGCTACTTACAAATAGTTAGAATTTTGTGTATCTTTCTGCAGTAATATTCTTCATGTAAAATTTAGTTGTCTTAGATTCATTTTTGTCTTTCCACAATGAATATTGATGACAGTGTGACTCTAGAAATAATTTGGCCAGGTGTGGTGGGATTACACCTGTAATTCCAGCACTCAGGAGACTGAGGCAGGAGGATCACTGGGAGGTCAAGGCCAGCCTGTCTCAAAAAACAAACAAAAAAAGGATCTAAGTATCTTTATCTAGTTTTAGACTTTCATAAATGGATTTTTTTTTTGTCCTTTTGAGACAGGGTGTCACTATGTAGCTCAGGCTGGTCTTGAGCTCACTCTGTAGCCCACGCTGACCTCGAACTCATAACAATCCTCCTACCTCAGCCTCCCAAGTGCTGGGATTACAGGCATGATGCGCCACCATGTCAGGCTTAAGTGGAAATATTATAGTAGAGAAAGTTCATATATAGTTGTAGTTAGATTACATGAGTCCAGTGCGTACATCATGCATATATACCAGTTTCCCTTTGAGATTGTGTAGTACTTGATAGAGGTGTCAGGTTATAAATACTAAACATGTATTTCTTAGGAGCATTGGAATTACTAATAAATATTACTTCTTATTTTAATAACAGTTACAAATCCTCTTGCTAGCACTAGGTTATTCTCATCAGGTTCTGGAGCAGATGTTACAGTTTACCTCTGTAGTGGTTTGCAAGGCAGCATAGAAGGCAGGGTACCTGTCAGGCACCAGTGTGCTGGTCATCATGTTCAGAGATCCCAGGCTGTGGGTGCAACGGGGTGGTGGTGAGAGATCACACACACACTGAGAGAGGAGCGTTGACTTAGCTTTTCTGATACTTTAGCTTGTAGAAAATGTAAAAAAGGACAGATTCAATATTAGTATTGATTGCCTGAGGCCAGATAAGCAAATTGTGTGGAAAAATGCTGATGTGATACGTAGATGATATAAACAGGAGCTTCGTGTCTTTCTCTTTTATAGGGAAGAGAGTGGGAGCTGCGTTGGCGGCCTGATCAGAACAGAACCTGTAAAGAGAGTTTGTGATGGACAATACTTACATAACTTCCAGCGCAAAAATGGTGCCATGCCTGCCACAAATCTGATGGCAGGGGACAGAGTTATTTTAAGTGGAGAAGAGAGAACACTGTTTGCTCTGTGCAGAGGATATGTGAAGGAGATTAACATGACAACAGTAACCTGTTTATTAGACAGGTAATAAAATGCTTTTTTTGGTAGCAGCTTTGTCAGGTACACAGCCCCCGTACCACACACCCACTGAGCAGTCCCTGCCCGCTTGATCCCTCCTCCCTGCAGCCTGGCGACTGCATTTTGCTGTCTGTCTGTGTGGGTTTACCTGTCTGGATTATGGCATCAGTTTCACACTGACGTTTTTTACTTAGCATAATGTTTACAAGGTTCCTCGGTATTTGAGCATGTCCTCGTGGCCCCTTCCTTCCTTCCTTCCTTCTTTCCTTCCTTACATAACTGGGCATGGTGGCATATGGCTGTAATCCCAGCACTCGGGAGGCTGAGGCAGGAGGATCGTTGTGAGTTCGAGACCAGTGTGGGCTACAGAGTTAGCTCAAGGCCAGCCTAAACTGCGCAGTGAGACCCTGTCTCAAAAAAAAAAAAAAAAAAAAAAAAAAAGGAGAGCCTGCCTTCCTTCCCTCCCTCCTTCCCTCCTTCTTTCCTTCCTTCCTTTCTTTCTTACTTTTTTTTGTGACTAGATGGTTACTTCATAGTACAAGTGGGCTACATTTTGCTAGTGGACATTTGAGTGTAAATAGTATTCTATGAATGTTCACCTACACATTTTTATGTGGTCATATTTTCATATTCTTTATAGCTACTTAAATGGAATTGCTGGGTCACGTGCTAATTTGATGTTTACTGTTTGAGGAACTGTGAAACTTTTACTTAGTGTATTATGTTCTAGTGCTAACGTGCACATGACCTTTTCTGAATCTCACAACTGCATGTATGTCGGGCAAGGTAGATGCCTGTCCCCTTGTGTTAGTTACGCAGTTTATTTCTCTTAGTTCTGTAGGCATTCACCATTTTGTTTCCTCCTTTTAAAAAAGTTTTTTGCCTGGTAGCTGTTATTTAAAGTGTACTTACTTCAGTGAAAGTAAGTTGACTTAAGAAAAAAATACTAGGTAAATAGAATAGTTGGCATGAAGATTAGTGGCAGAGACCAGGTCCATGTTAACTGATTTCTGTATTGCCCACCCTAGTTACTTTCCTCATTGCTGAGACAAAGTACCTGACACCGAGGTTAGAGGAGGAAAGGCTTCTTTGGCTTAGAGTCTGGAGGTTTCAGTCCATAGTCGGCTGGCTCCGAGGCAGGGTGGTGTGGCAGAGGAGAGCAGTCATGGGGTCAGCAAGCAGTGAAGCAGCAGCAGCAGAAGCTGCTCCCCTTTTGGTCCCTTCCAGGCTGCCCGGCCTTTGGGTGCTGTCACCCACACCAAGAGCGGGCTTTCCCATTACCCACACCCAAATGTGCCAGGCCAGTGAGAGCACTCATTTAGTAATCACACACTTAATCCCAGCGTCACCCACTAGATCAGCCATCCCTGAAAAGCCCCACCTATGACTTCATGAGGCTTTGGGGGACATGGCTTAGACACAAGCCCTAACACCCCGTTTTGCATGGCCAGCCCCTCACAGCTGATACTGAATGGCCAGAGGTCTGCAGCTGGGGCTTGTGAAAGCTGGGTACATGCAGTGGAGATGTCCAGGCTTGTTCCTGCCAACCAGTGATCTTACCTGGGCTATCATTTCTCTCTTATAGGGAGGAGAGCCCTGTCTGGGTTCTATGACGCAGGAGTGTAAGCCACAGTATTCCTGTTGTTGCTTAGGGTTGCCTGCCAGCCTTGGCAGTAGGTTTTTGTGGTGGTGCAGATGGTACCCAGGGCCAAGCGCTCTCCTGAGCTGTATCCTTGGCCTTCCTAGCAGGGTGTGTGTGTGTGTGTGTGTGTGTGTGTGTGTGTGTGTGAGTGAGATGTGGTAGGTGCTTTGTAAATATCTGAGGAATTATCTGAGGAAATACCTGAGGAATGTATGGTCTTGTGTGTAGGCACATACATGTTATTTTTCAATCTAATACATGAAGTTTTCAAATTAATAGGAAGATAGGAAAGGCATTCAACCCAATTTTAGGAGGCTCAGGGAAGGCTTTTTGAAAAAACTAATTGTGGATCTTCACCCTATAGATTAGTAAAGTAGTAAATGTGAGTAGTATGCCAGACTGAACCAGTGTGTTCACAGGCATGTGACAGGTCGTATGCCATGGTGTTTTCAAGAAAGTGACCGTAGCTGAGTGTTTCTGGAATGTAAAATATAAGGGAGTGATTGGAGAACTCAGCTCATACTAGGTCTTAATATACCATGTTTAGAAAGCTTCATTTTATTTTTTAAGTGTTGTAAAGCGTTTGTTTTTGTGCTGGGAATTGAACCCGAGTCCTTCCATATGTTAGGCATTTGCTCTACCACTGAGCTACATCCCCAGCCCTGTGACATTTTATCAGAAATATCAAAAGTAATTGGATTTGCATTTCCTTATGGGTGAATTGTGGAGATTTGAGTTAATAAAAGGCAAAACTGAAAGCAGAGAAACTTTGAAGCTGTTATAGTGGCTCAAGGTGGCTGTGGTTGAAGGCAAAGTTAGTGTTGGTGGAGACGAGAGAGTGATAAGTATGTAGAAAGAATTGGCTAGCAGCTGGGTATGGCTTTGGTGTGGGGCCAGGGAAGAGGGTCGGGAAAGAAGGATCAGTACCCTGGTGTGGATCCAAGTGCCAGTGACTGAGATCAGGACCAGAGGCAGCAGCTCAGGTACAGCAGGGATGAGGAGTTCAGTTCTGAGTACAGGAACTTTCATAGCTTGGGTTTTAGCCAGGTGGAGAGATCATGCTCCCTGCAGATACCCAAACCAGAAGTTTGGGTGATAAACCAGGTAGGAGGAAAGCGTAGAGCTGGCATAAGGATGGAGGCATATGCTGGCCAGGCAGCATAGAGGGAAAAGAGCAGCAGCTCAGTGGACCAGGGAGGGACTCCAGGGACTCCTGGTTAAAGGGGCAGGCAGAGGTGTCAGGGAGGCAGCAGCAGAGAGGACTGTCCTCCAGGCTGGGAGAGGCGGAGCTGTGTGTTTAGGACGCTTCTGAGTGGTGAGCATAGTAAATTGCAAGGTCAAGTGGATTTGGAGCAAATGTTACAGGTTTGTCACTGTCCGTTGCTTTGTCCTTGCTGCTGTGTCCTCTGTGTCCCCGTTGCTCCCCTCATGGCCAGATGCTGTCTGTCAGCAAGTGTGAACGAGGGACTGGGACTGAGAGCCTTTTCCTTCTTTTGTTTCTCTGGTAGCTATTTTAGTAGCTGTTCTAGCCCATTTACTCTTTTGGGAGGAAACATACTTCTTACAGAGACCACATGGAATGAAAAACAGTCACCTGTATTTGTTTTGCTGTTTCAGGAATTTGTCAGTACTTCCAGAATCGACTTTGTTCAGATTAGACCAGGAAGAAAAGAACTGTGATATAGATACCCCATTAGAAAATCTCTCTAAATTGATGGAAAACACTCAGCCCAGGTTTGTAACACTGAATAAATCTAAATTTCTTCCCACTTTCCTGAGTGATACTACTAAAAATATCTTCTCCTTTTTCAGCAAGAGACTTCGAGATTTAATCATCGACTTTCGGGAGCCTCAGTTTATACCCTACCTCAGTTCTGTCCTTCCACACGATGCGAAGGACACAGTGGCCGGCATTCTGAAGGGTACACTACAATCAGCACTTTGAGTCATTTTCCCTGGTTCTATTTGTAACTAAGCTACGCCTTTTCTTTCTCGTTTTCTTTTCTTTCTTTCCTTTCATCTTTTTGAGACAGGGTTTCGCTATGCAGTTCAAGCTGCCCTTAAACTTACGCTGTAGCCCAGGCTGCCCTCGAACTCTCAGTGATCTTCCTGCTTCAGCATCCTGAGGACTGGGATTACAGGTGTATGCCACCACGCCTGGCCTAATTTGTTAATAATTGACTAGTCTTGCCATTATAATGGTCAGCCAGAGACCATTTGGAAGTAGTTTGTATGTAAAAGTCAGCATAATCCCAGTATTCAGGAGAGTGACGCAGGAGGATCACTGGGAGCTTGAGGCCAGCCTGGGCTACGTAGCAAGACCGTATTTCCAAAAAAAAGAAAAAGTCAACATAACTTTTTTTGCTTTGAAAGGAAGTATTAAAGAACAAATGCAGACAGGGATTGCTTTCTTTTCTGAACTACTGGATTTGTATATTAAAATTCAGTAATCTTACTCTTGTTATTTTTTAATTTAAATGTAGGTTTAAATAAGCCTCAGAGACAAGCAATGAAAAAGGTTCTTCTTTCAAAAGACTACACACTCATCGTGGGGATGCCTGGGACAGGAAAAACCACGACCATCTGTTCCCTTGTAAGGCTATTATTCGCTTAGAAACTGTTTGTGTGCTCGCTTCAGCAGCACATATACTAAAATTGGAATGATACAGAGAAGATTAGCGTGGCCCCTACATAAGGATGAGAGGCAAATTCCTGCAGCTTTCCATATTTAAAAAAAAGAAACTGTATCAACTTCCCTCTGCTCAGAGGATGTAGTACTTGGTGCCAAAAGGGCTGAATTTTAACTCAAAAATCTTTATTTCAAATTAACTTTGTATAATGACAAGAGAAAATAGTAAAGCTGAATTTATAAATATAATACAGTAGTTATGGTCACTTTCACATTTCGAATTTTAAAATTCTCTTTCTGTTGTGGTATGTGGTACATATCACTGCCTTTCCTTCCCTTTATTTGGACCTGCTGTGCAGTTCAGTCAGGCCGGCCTGGACTGCATGATGTATTGAAGGCCAGCCGGAGTGAGACACTGTCTCAGAGAAGAAAAAAAAGACATTCTACAGATAGTTTGATTTTCTTGGCTTTTTCTCACATCATTAAATTTCTAAGCAGTCTCAGAATAATCATGATAGTAGCAGATGTTCAGATGATTATTAGTTGATAAGTATGTTAGACAGTATTAAAAACTTACACGTGTCTGATTTTATTACTACTTACATATTAATAAAATAATAATGCTATGTAATTTCTGTAAAATATTTTGGCATTATAATTTTTATTGCTTGGCTCAGCTCTTAGATATACTTCCAGTTCAGCTTTCTAGTTCTGTTTGAAAAATACAAGCATGTTGAAACTTACCTGGAATTAAAAGTAATGCTATGTTTCTTTCTCATCCATTATTAGGTGAGAATCCTCTATGCCTGTGGTTTCAGTGTCTTGTTGACCAGCTATACACATTCTGCTGTTGACAATATTCTTTTGAAGTTAGCCAAGTTTAAAATTGGATTTTTGCGTTTGGGTCAGACTCAGAAGGTTCATCCAGATATCCAGAAATTCACAGAGGAGGAAATTTGCAGATCAAAATCCATTAAATCCTTGGCTGTTTTACAAGAACTGTATAATAGTCAAGTAGGTACAATTATTATATGCTTATACTGGCAGTAATTTCTATGGCCAGAATTAAGGAGGAAATGTTACTCTGGGAACTTGGTCATATTGACCAGATGGCGATTATGTGTTTTACAGGACCATTTTATTCATTTATAACTCGCTGTTTCCTTTAGAATTAAAATGAGTTTTTGGTTATTACTCAGTGGTCTCTCCTTCTAGTTTCAGATATCTTAGAAAACTATTGGGCTGGGGATATAGCTCGGTGGCACAAGTGCCTGATTGGCAAGTGCAAGGTCCTGAGTTTAATTCCTGGTACAAAAAAAAAAAAAAAAACCTAATAAAGAAAACTGCTAATAATCAGGATATTTAGTTTGAATCAGAAGCAGTGATATTTAAGCCTTATGATGAATATTTTTAGGCTTTGATATAGGACCTTTGTCTTAGTTACTTTTTCTCATGGCTTGACAGAAGGACATCTCAGAGGAAAAACAGTCCATGGCAAAGCAGGGCAGGCAGAAGGCAGCAAGGAGCAAGTGACAGGCAACCACAGAAAGGGTCCCTTATATTCCATTCATGCTACACACCTTTAGGGCAGGTAGCACTCACACCCCAGGAGGACCTTTCCATTATCCACTCCTGGAGGATGTCAGACCAATCAGTGGACTAATTTAGTAATCACACACCCTTAATCCCAACATCAGTATTTAATCCCAGCATCATACACTGTAGATTCAGCCACCTCAGAAAAGCCCCACCTATGGCTGCATAAAGCTTTGGTGGAACATCTAGACAGAAGCTATAACAAACCTAGTTTTTATTATTTAATATCTTTTGCTGGGAAGTCAAAAGTGATTTTTTTTTTAAAGTGATATTTTTGAAGATCACCTAAAATTAAATTTTGTCTTTAAGTTAGATTTAATAGGCTGTTCCTTTAGTGTTAATATAACCAGGAGCCAGCCATGTGTGGTGGTGCATGCCTGTAATCCCAGCAACTAGAGGCTGAAGCAGGAAGATCATAAATTCAAGCCTACTCTGGGCAACTTAGCAACTTAACCCTGTCTCAAAATAAAAATAATGTAAAGAGCTGGGAATGTAGCTCAGAAGACCCTGAGTTTGATCCCTAGTGCCACAAACAAACCAACCAACCACCAACAAAAAGCACTCCTACACATGGGCACTGATGGGCTGTGTTGTGTTGCTACCTTTTGCGCTTGGGTTATGACACCTGCTGCTTTAGTGTGTGTGCGCTGGGACTGGCATTTTTCACTTAGCCTAAGACTCAGAAGATTCACTCAGGTGGTTGTAGGAATTTAATAGTTTATTTCTTTTTATTGTTGAGTATTGTTTTAAATCTGCTTATTCATCACCATTGAAAATATGAGTTTCTAGCCAGGGATATAGCTCAGCGGCACAAGCACCTGCCAGGCAAGTGTAAGGTCCTGAGTTCGATTCCTGGTACCAAAAAAAAAGAAAAAGAAAATACAGTTTCTATTATTTTGGCTGTTACAAATAAAAATGTTACAGGCATTCACGTATAGGCTTTTGTTTGAGTGTAACTTTCCGTTTCTTTGGGATAAGTTCCCAGGAATGCATGTTTTCTCCAGTCTGTTTTATCCATGTTTATTTAGATTGTATTCCGTTTTTTCTGTGTCCCTGTTCCCTCACTCTTTTTTAGGTGGCAATTTAATTTCAGTGTGTTTTCAGTTCTCAAGTTCCCATTTGCCGCCTCGTTGCTGAGCCTGTTCTGTTATTTGCTTCAAGTGTGTTGATAATTGCTTGTTGAAACACAATTTTATCATAGCAGCTTCAGCATCTTGGTCAGATAATTCTGATATTTCTGTCAGCTTCGTGTTGGTTTGGTGGATTTTTTTTTACATTTAGTGTGAGCTTTTCCTGGTTTTTTATTGCACCTTGAGTGTTTTGTGTTATATTGAACATGTCCATCCCAGCAGGTGTCCTCTGTCTGGTGGAGCCTCTGCTCTCCTTGGGGTGGCTGAGAAGTAGGGGTCTCAGCCTGGTCTCCATGGATGCTGCTGGTTGGGGGTTTGCCCTCATCAACTCAGGTGAAAGCTCTGACTCCCTGCTCTGCCTCTTCAGCCCCATGTGGGTGACGGGATGGCTTTCCACAGCAGGGAAGGGCGAGAAGCTGGTCTCTCCACCCACACACTGGCCCTGCAAGGGATGAGGCCCTGTTAATTTACTGGGATAACCGGTGATAGTGGAGTGGTCATTGCTTGAATTTTCTGTCTGCTGGGCTTTCTCTTCGGCTGTAGAGAGCAGCCATTGTGGAAGCCATTCTTGATTTCCACCATTGGTGTTCCCAGCTGGTGGTATATTTAGTCCAAGTGTGGGACAGATGAGGCAAAAAGAAAGCCTGGGGGATTAAGTGCACATTGTTCCTCTCCTGGAGCTCCCTGGTCTGCCTTTCCTTCATCTTCAAGGTCATCCTTTATTTTGTACATGATGTTCCAGGTTTTCCTGTGGCGCTGGGGATTGAGCCAGGTGCCTCCTGCGTGCTAGGCAAGCACTGTCCTGCAGTGCTGCAACCCCAGCCTGTGTCCCCGGGTTGTCGTTGTTCTTTGTGGGAAGATGAAGGAAACACACTCCTTCCAGAATGGAAGTTTTAGGTCATATTTTTTAAAAATCTTATTGCCTCGTCTTCGTAACCTTTTCTTGTTGCTGAGACAGAGTATCTGACACCCAAAATTAAGGAGGAAAGGTTTATTTAACACGAAGTTTGTAGAGGTTTCAGTCCATAGTTGGCTGGCTCCAGTGCAGGATGGTGTGGCAGAGGGGCATTGCCGAGGAGAAACAGTCCGTGGCAGTGCAAGCAGAAGGCAGCAGAGGTGAGCCTGCCTCTCCCTTTATCCCATCCAGGCTACAGGCCTTGGTGGTGGTACCACCCACACCCAGGATGGGCTTCTGTTTTCAGTAAGTCCCTTCAGCCACACCCAGAACTATTGTAATTCCAATCAGTGGGCTAATTTAATATCAGGTACCCTATATCCAGTTAGCTTCAAAAGGCCCCACTCATGAGCCACTGAGGCCTTGGGGGACATCTAGACACAAGCCATAACACCTCTTTAATGTTGCAGATTTCTATTACTCAAATGTGAATATTGCTCATAGTGCCTGGAAAATTCACTTGATTTTTTTTTTCCATTCATAGAAAAAATTAAAAATACATTTTGCATCAATAAATATTTTACAGTTGAATAATAGAGGATTCCTGCTGCAAGAAGCTGAAAAAATTATTTTTAGGGGCTGGAGATATAGATCAGTGGCTCAAGTGCTTGCCTGGCAAGCACAAGGTCCTGAGTTCAATTCCTGGCACCAAAAAAAAAAGTTGGTTTTTTTTTTTTTTGTCTTTTTGTGACAGGCTCTCACCATGCAGTTCAGGCTGGTCTTAAACTTACTTATGTAGCCCAGGCTGGCCTCAAACTCGCAACAGTTCTGCCTCAGCCTCCTGAGTGCTGGGATTACAGGCGTGTGCCACCACATCTGGCTTAAAAATATTTTTAAATGGGGGAGCTGGGGAATGGTGGCACACACTTGTTATCCCAGTACTCTGGGAGGCTGAGGCAGAAGAGCTGCTGTTTGAGGCCAGCCTGAGCTACATAGGGAGTTCAAGGCCAGCCTGGAATACGTGGTGAGACCCTGTCTCAAAGAACAAGAAAAAGGGGTGTGTGTGTGTATGTGTGTGTGTGTGTGTGTGTGTGTGTGTTGTGTGTGTGAGACCCATTTCTTCTACATACTAAGTAACTTTTCTTTCTTTTTAGCTTATAGTTGCAACAACATGTATGGGAATAAACCATCCAATATTTTCCCGGAAAACTTTTGATTTTTGTATTGTGGATGAAGCCTCTCAAATCAGCCAACCAGTTTGCCTGGGACCACTTTTTTTTTCTCGGAGGTTTGTGTTGGTGGGAGATCACCAGCAGCTTCCTCCCCTGGTGCTAAACCGGGAAGCAAGGTAGGCAGACATTAAGTTTTGTTTTGTTTTAGTAGAGGTGGGATTGTATGTGTTGCCCAGGCTGACCTGGGACTCCCAGGGTTGAGTGTACCTCATACCTTAGCCTCTGGAGTCCCAGGGAATACACATGCACACCACCACACTGATGTTGTTTTATTCCTATTTTTTTTTTCCCTAGTACAGGGAAATGAACTTATAACCTCACGCTTGCCAGGCAGGTGCTGTGCCACTGAGCTCTCTCCTTGGCCCTTTGTTTTACTCTTAAACTGGATTCTTTCCAAGGGACTGTATCAGTACACTAATGAGCCTGAATTTGATTGGTTGACAGAGTTCTTGGCATGAGTGAAAGCTTGTTCAAGAGGCTGGAGCGGAAGAAGAGTGCTGTTGTACAATTAACCGTGCAGTACAGAATGAACAGGTACTTATTTGTAAGTGTTAACAATGAGTCTTTTTCATGTTTTATTTTTGTCTACCAAACTAATGCTGTCTTTTGCATCTCTTAGTACAATCATGTCCTTAAGTAATAAGCTGACCTATGAAGGAAAGCTGGCGTGTGGGTCAGACAGAGTGGCCAGTGCAGTGATAACTCTACCTAACTTTAAAGATGTGAAGCTGGAGCTGGAATTTTATGCTGATTATTCTGACAGTCCCTGGTTGAGTGGAGTATTTGAGCCAAGTAATCCTGTTTGCTTTCTTAATACAGAAAAGGTAAAAAAAATACTTGAGTTTTTCTGTCTGTCCTGTTTAAATTTCTCAGTTGGCATTAGTGCATGTTTTGCTGAGCGTATCTGTTCGAAGGCAAACTAGTGTGTACTTCTTACACTCCAGCACAGGAGTCTTTTCGTACTGTACGCCCAACATCTTTGAGAGGAGACTTATTCTGGGATCTGATAGGTATCAAAATTGACTGTTGGGAATTTGTTTTCTGGTGCTGGGATTGATTGAACCCAAAGCTTTGTGCATTAGGGTAAGTGCTCTGCTACCAAGCTCTATCTCTAGCCCTAAAATTCACTTTTCATGAAGAAAAGTCAGAAAATGAGTCAACCATATAGTTCCATCTCTTAGGCAAGAAGGTAATATTGACACTACCAAAGGACTAGTTTTATAAGGACAGAAAATAAAATAATTTAATGACTTTTAAAATCTTTTTAAAATAAGGTTTTAGTTTTCAGAGCGGTTTTGGATTAATAGCAAAACTAAGCAGGAAATACTTGGATTTCCCATATACTTTTTGCCTTAACACATGTACATAAAAATCCTTTTACACATTTGTTATTAAAGTAAAATCATCACAGCACATTTAATGGCTTGAATCTTATTTCTGTGAGCTAAGAAAGTAGTTTTGACCCTGTATTCTCAGTGTGTTTCATACAGTGATTCTCAGCACTGAGTTGGCAGTCCAGGTAGTAATACCCTTTATATGGGAATTACCGTAGAACAGTGATGGTGAACCCTTTGGAGACTAAGTGCCCAGACTGCAATCCAAAACCCACTTATTTACTGCAAAGTGCTAACCTGAATACTGCTGCAATTAATACTGACCAGCCATGTGAAAGCCCAGACGAATTGCAGCTAATGTTTTGGCTGGTGACATCACCACCTGGCCCTGCTACTCCTTCACAAACATTTGTGTGGCCCCAGTATGCCTTGTTACCTGATGCTCAGCTGCTGCAGAGTGCTGGGGCGACTTGGCTCTCCCGCCACAGGAAGGGCTCTTTGTGTCAGCTGCAGCATGGGTGTCTGAGGTTCACCTCCACTGCCCTAAATAATAATCTTTGTTGTTAAGATGGATTGGGTGGGAGGGGGGTTGAGGGTGTAGCTCAGTGGCAGAACCTTTGTCTTGTCTGCTCCATTATTTGTATAAAGGGCAACAAGAATTGTAAAAGGTGCTAATATTAGAGCCAGATCTAAATTTGAGTCCTGGTATGAAGATTTATTGTAAAGCATTAGACAGATCATTTTCTTCATGCCTTTGATTCCTGAAAAATGGGAAATAACAAGGTAAAGTATATGAAACACAAGGTGTGGTCAAGTTTCCTAAGATTTTAGCTTGAAGTACAGCATCTTCAGGATGGGTGTGTTTGCCTGCCTTCTAGAAAGTGACTATATTCATTTTTGTTGATTCTTCACTTTCACCTAAAAAGGTTTTTTTTTTTTTTTCACGTTTCCAAACATGGCTGAAAAGTCTCTATATTGTCCTGTACTCCTAGAGATTGTTATAAAGGAGCTACCTATTTTTCTACTTAGGTTCCAGCACCAGAACAAGTTGACAAAAGTGGTGTGAGCAATATAATAGAAGCCAAACTCATAGTTTTCTTGACTGCAACTTTTATTAAGGTAATTCAGAATTTTCAAGGCTAATTAATATTCACATGCAGAGTAATAGAATATTATTAGGCTGTAAGAAACTTATGATGTGATGTTAGCCCAATTCATTAAGATAACGAGACTGTAGCCCCATTGCTTAGGAGAAACTTTATCTAAAATATTTACATTTTTGGCTGGGCATAATAGTGCACTCCTGTAATCCTAGCATTTGGGAGACTGAGGAAGGAGAATTGCCACAAGTTTGAGGCCAGCCTGAACTACTTACTACATAATGGATAAAAGACAAGGCTGGACTATGCAGCAAGACCCTGTCTCAAAAAACTTTTTAAAGAAGTGTATTTTTTTATAATACCATTTGGGAGTTTCCATTTAGGATAATTTTGTTTTGTTTTTTGTTGGTGGTTTTTTTGAGGTTTTTTTGGTACCAGAAATTGGACTCAGGACCTTGCACTTGCCAGGCAGGTGCTGTGCGGCTAAGCTATAGCCCCAGCCCTAAGATAATTTTGTAATGTCAGATAATTCCATTTGTGTCAGTACTGCACTGTAATCAGTATGATTGGGTATTGGAAAGTCCTCTGTGTAAGGGGTAAGAGAAAGTGAACTGTGTTTCTGGGCACTGTTTGACTCTGTGGCAGCACTTTTTTAGTGGCCCATAAACCACTATGTTGCCTGAACCTCTAAAAATCCTAGCAATGTCAAAGGAATTATTTCGTCATGGATAACAGGCATACATTTACAACACATTCAATACCTAGTCCTTAAGATGGGAACATCAGTTACAAACTTAAGTTGGGTATGTAATGTAAAGATTTAATTTAATTCAGTAAAGCTTAAAGAACTAAGAAAACCAGGATTTTTCATTTTAAGTTGTGTCCTTTTCTGTTTAGGCTGGATGTAATCCCTCTGATATTGGTATCATTGCACCGTACAGGCAGCAGTTAAAAAGCATCAATGATTTATTGGCACATTCTTCTTTTGGGACGGTGGAAGTTAATACAGTAGACAAATATCAAGGAAGAGACAAAAGAATAATCCTAGTATCTTTTGTTAGAAGTAATAAAGATGGAACTGTAAGTGAATTATATTTTCGACTGACTCATTTGAGGTGTCCCTCCCCTTAGGTTTTTTTTATTTTGTTTCATTTTGTGGTAATGAACTCAGGGCCTTAAGTGCACTAGGTAAGTGCTCTAACCCGGCTGGATCTCTTTCTTTGAAATTATGGTAAATAACAGGAAACTTACCATCTTAATCATTTCTTTGTGTGCCATTCAGTGGTATTAAGTATATTCACAGTGTTGTTAAAGAGATCTCCAGAAACTTCATTTTGCACATTGAGTATTTTGTACTAATGAATAACCATCCATTCCTCTACTTCCACGGCCATTATTAGCCATCATTCTACTGTCTCTAAATTTGACTTTTCTAGGAACTCCACCCAAGTAGAATCTTACAGTGTTTGTCTTTATGTGACTGGCTTATTTCATTTAGGTTTTTTCGTGTTGTAGCATGTGATAGGATTTCCTTCCTCTTTAAGATGGAATAGTGCACCCTTGTTTATATATACTGCATTTTAATTATCTGTTTATCTGTAGATGGCCTTTTGGGTTGCTTTCACCTCTGGCTATTGTGGTTGGGCTTTTTTATTTTTGTGGTTGAAGCATTTTTTTTTTTTTTTTTGGTTTTTCTCCGGTACCAGGAACTTTCTCCGGTACCAGGAACCGAACTCACGACCTTGCGCTTGCCAGGCAAGCGCTTTTGCCGCTGAGCTAAATCCCCAGCCCCTGGTTGAAGCATTTTAAACAAAACCTCCTTTGTATATATTTGAATTTGAAGATAATGCCAGGTTTTATTTTGTTTGAATTTTTACTTTTTTTTTTTGTTAGACAGGGTCTCACAGTGTAGTTCAGCATGGCCTTGAACTCACTATGTAGCCCGCGTTGGCTTTGAACTTACAGTGGTCCTCCTCCCTTAGCCTCCTGAGTGCTGGGATTATAGGCATGTTCCACTATGCCCAGTTCACATCTCTTTTATTTTTCTTGACTATATAATACATTTATATGGTTTTAAAATATACATAATAAAAAAACTTCCTTTCTACTCTGTCCCTTATTTTAGTTCTTACCTTGTAGATAGTCATGCTGTTTTGTTTTATTGGCAGGAGGGCAGAGTCTTGCTATGTAGCTCAGGCTGGCCCTGAACTCTCAGCAGTCCTCCTGCCTCAAGCTGGGCTTACAAACATGTGCCACCATGCCCAGCTGCTATTGAGGGGTTTTTTTGCAACCTTTCAGATTATCCAGACACTATCTTGGGCTTTGCTTTTTCTGCTTCAGGGTGTTGTTGCTCTTCATGTGAGTCCACAGGAGGTTTCATTTTGTTCTCACAGTTGCACATTTGTCTACTCTATAGATGTATCATAACATTAACCACTTTTCTGAGTCTTTTTTTACAATTTTTATAACTATTACAGTTATGCTACAGTGAGTGGAGAAAGCACTAGTTCTTTATTTTTATTATGTGTAATTAATAATTTTAAATTACAGCTAGGATATTACAACATAAAAATACTTGAAAGGTGGCATTTTGAGCAAGTTCTCTTCACTGCCTAGATTTTTTTTTTTGTACTGGGACTAGAACTCAGGACCTTGTGCTTGCCAGGCAGGTGCTGTGCCACTGAGCTATATCTCCCTGCCTAGAATTTTTTTTTTGGTTTTTCTCCGGTACTGGGAACCGAACTCACGACCTTGTGCTTGCCAGGCAGGCGCTTTGTGGCTGAGCTAAATCCCCAGCCCCCCTGCCTAGAATTTTAAATGTGTTGATGAATCCTTTTTATAGTCTGTGTTTTAAAATCAGGTAATAAGCTGGGCATGGTAGTGCATGCCTATATTCCCAGCAATTGGGAGGCTGAAGCAGTGGGATCCTTGCATGTTTGAGGCCAGCGGTGCTACATAGTGAGACCCTGTCTCAAAAAAAACAAAAAGGAAAATAGATGAATGAACCATGTTGTTTGTCAGAGCAAACTTTAATATAAGAAAACTGAAATAATTGAAAATTACATTTTTACAGCTTGGTGAACTCTGGAAAGATTGGCGACGTCTTAATGTTGCTATAACCAGAGCCAAACATAAACTGATTCTCCTGGGGTGCATGCCCTCACTAAAGCGATATCCTCCTTTGGAGAAATTGTTTTGTCATCTAAATTCAGAAAAACTAATATCCTTTTTGTCAGGTGTGTGGTCACATTTGTGCTACTATACTTTTTATGAACTTGTATAAATTAACTTAGTGTCTTGTGTTTTCCACCTGCATTTCCTAAAGATCTACTTTGACAGAGGAGAGAGAAAAAAATTCACAGAAGTCATGTTAGATCACAGGTAGTAATGGAGGTGATGGAGTTAGGTAATTTGTAAAATAAGGAAGGGAAAAATAAGACATGACCTATTGCCCCAAAACTAGCACATTTAGGAAAATTGGTTCTCTCTTCTCTCGTTCTGGTTCCAAATTTATACCTTGTTTTTATTTCTATTTATTGTGGTGCTGGAGGTTGAACCCAGGGCCTTGCTTGTGTTAGGCAAGGCTCTGTCACTGAGCTACACCCGCAGCCCTCTCTCCAGTATTTTTCAAATAAATCATTAAAAAACTTACTGGCCGATCTTAAGATATATTAATCTTATTGCTTAAGTACATAATTATCCATAGAGTGCCATGCAGCTCTTAATATTTTTTGTAGTTCTGTAAATCCCGTTGTAAAATGTGGAGAAAGGCCCTAAATGTGTTTGTGAACTCCCATATTGGTAAAAGTATCTTCCTTAATTACTCTACATCATTGATCTTCCATCAAGAGAGCATGAAAGTCTGTGTCACATACTGGGAGATTGTCAGAGAGGGTGAGGCCCGGTTTCCTTCCTTTTTCACATTCCTCACTGGAGCTGCTATCCTGATTTTGGATCACTGAAAAACAGCCTGGATAAACTGTGAAGATGACCTGTAATCCAAGGATGCGCTACGAAGTTTCAGTTGTTTCTTTTCTAAAAATTTATTTTATTTAATCTTGTTAATCATAAAATTCTCTTGCCATACAAAATTTAACACAGTATGTATTTAATTACTAATGCATCCCATACTGGGAAAAGTCTAAATTTATTGGTACTACAAATACATTCTTAGCTGGCCTACAAAAAGTTTGATAAATTTTTAACCAACTTTAAACATGGATTAACTTGTGGATCTGAGTTTAAACTTTTAAATCTAAAATTTCAGGACTAATTTGGTTTTATAGATTTAACCATAAGAATTATATTTAAAATAACGTTTTAATAAATAAAGTTTTCATAAATAAAGTTTTCATAATTTAAGCACAACCCTGTGGTCATGGGAAAACAGGTTATGTTTTTTTTCCTTTTTTTTTTTGGTCTTTTTGAGACAGGGTCTCACTCTGCAAGTCAGGCTGGCCTGAGCTCACTTTGTAGCCTAGGCTGGCCTCAAACTTGCAACAATCCTACTGCCTCAGCCTCCTGAGTACTGGGATTACATGCGTGCGCTGCCACACACAGTGGGACCCTGTCTTAAGTACAAAAATGTAGAGGGCTGGGGATATTGCTCCATGGAAAAGCACTTGCCTAGCGTGTGCAGCACCCTGCCCTTGGTTCACCCCCCCAGTGCTGTGGTGGTGGCAGTGGCAGTTGAGGGGATGTTAAAGCTACCTCAGAGTGATGTTATACATATGGTAACAGATTTTAACCTCAGGGTATCCATCATCTGGATGGAAAAATCTTGCATTTCTGTGTTGTTTTGTTTTGTTGTGTGTTTTTGAGACTGGGTCTTGCTATGCAGTTCAGGCTGGCCTTGAGCTCACTTTGTAGCCCAGCTGGTCTCAAACTTGCAAGGATCCTCCTGCCTCAGCCTCCCTAGGGATTACAGGTATGCTTTTATTTTTAAATGAATGTTAAATATGTTAAAAGTGTTACCACTACCTATTTGTTTGGGTTATTATTTGAAGTTTTAATTTAATAAATTGTTTTCTACTGATTTTACAGTGTCATTTATTATTAGTGCTAATGATGAATTTCAGGGTTATCCAACATTTTTTCTAGTGTTGGTAATATCTAAAGCTGAAACCAGGGAGTGTTGATATTATAGAGAGATTTATTAGGACACATAGGATGGGCTTGAACATGGAGACATTTTAGATCAGACAGTGAAGACAGGAGATATGATTACAGGGGCTATTCCTGGTAGGTATTATGAGAAAGCAGGAAGGAATCTAAGAGGGTTTCAGTTCCCGGAACCGAAATGAATAGAAGGCTCTTTGGCTTAATCAGCACGGGGTTCCATACATATAGGTTTGTACAGCCTGAGAAGTAAGCTCCATGGAAGAATCCAGAAAGGAGTTTCATGGGAGCTGTCATTTTTCATGAGATTCTTTTTTTGGGGGGTGGGGGAGCTCTTCTTCAGACAAGCCCTCGCTATGCAGTTTAGGCTGGCCTTGAGCTCACTTTGTAGTCCAGGCTGGTCTTGAACTTGGTAAGATCCTCCTGCCTCAGCCTCCCGAGTGCTGAGATTACAGGCATGTGCCAACACGCCCAGCTTTCATGAGATTCTAGCCATTTAATTCTTTGGAAGAGTTGGGAGAGTGCTGCGCAGATGGTGCTGTGAGGTGGCTGGGTGAGATGGGGACGAAAGGCGGCCCAAGGCCCGAGGGGCAGTGGCAGTGCACAGCGAGCACCAAGCACGAGCGGTGCATGAGGCCTGAGAACGTACCAGGCCCTTGCTCTGTGCGGTCCCAGATCAAAGCACCGCGAGCCTCCGCAAGGCTTTCCTTCTACAGCTTGGAAGCCTGGGTTGGAAGACAATGTGCTGCTACCGTGGCCGCATTCCTCAATCAGTTTGAAACGATGGGAGAACTGGGATAAGCACTCTAACTTAATCCCCTTCTCTTCCTGCTTGCTTTTAGCTGACTTTAAAAGTTGGCAGTTTCAGAGATAAGACCTGAGGTGTGTCAGGATGGGACAGCTGGAGTGTGATCACACATTCACAGACTACCAGTTCCTTCCTAGCCTGCCTTTGACTTTCCTCGCAGCGTGAGGAGGCCTGTTCTCAGGTCCTGTCCTCTCCCGGTGCTCCACGCTGGGCTGCCTCCTGAACGAACTGCTTGCCAATCTCATTTCAGCCACTGCCCTGCTGTAGCATGGGACTGGTCTGGAACTGAGGTCAGGACTCTGCCTGTTGACTCATCCTCTGAGTCCTTTCTTTTGTCTTCATCCCTCTCTAAAGCTTGGTCTTCCTCTTTTTGAATTGTGACTGGCTTCAGCCAGCATCTCTATGGTTTTTTTTGAGACAGGGGCTTGCTATGTACTTCAGGCTAGCTTTGAACCCAAGTTGGCCTCGAACTTACTTTGATCCTCCTGCCTCAGCCTCCCAAATGCTGGGAGCACAGGCGTGCACCCCCAGGCCTAGCACCTCTGGTGGTTTACCAAACCTGCACTCCACCTTGCCTTGCAGGTCCTGAACTGTCTTTGGATCACTTCTGTTGGCCTTGCCCCCAGGTCTCTTCAGGGCATTTTTATCCTGCTGACTCTCTGGTGTCTTTGTCACCCTTGGACAGTTTCTCAAAGCTTGGAGAGTGATTACACTGAAATTTTTTTGTGATTCTATCTTGTAATATCACCCTTTGATAGTTTGGCATGTGATAATCTAGGCGGGTTTTTGAAAAACAAAAATTAGCTGGGTGTGGTGCTACCCACCTGCAATTCCAGTACTCTGGAAAGCTGAGGCTGAAAGATCACAGATTTGGGCCCAGCCTGGGCAATTTAGCAATTTAGTGAGACTGTCTCAAAAAAACGAAAGAGCTGAAGATGTAGCTTAATGTGAAGGCCTTGAGCGTGAAGTGGGCTCAATCAATACCCTCCCCCCCCTCACGAAATAACTTTACAGTAGCCAAACGGAAAGACACCGCCCCAGTGAAGTGCAGCGGCTGTCATCTGAACTAGCACCCAGATCTGACTAGGGAAGGGCTTGAGCTTGGTGTCAGCCGGCCTCGAACTTGCCCCTTCCCCGCCACCTCTCTTTCCCCCCGCCTGCTCCGCACGAAGCCAAGGAGTGGCGCCATCTCCTCTGTCGCTGGGTTTCCGGCCCCCGCCGGCCGCGTCGCGAGCTGCCGGAAGATGAAGGAAACCAAGGGAGGCGGCGCGCTGGCCACGCCCGGGCCTCGCGGGGCCTCCGCGGAGCGGGCCCTCCCGGCCGCCG